TCCAGAGTACTGCAGAGTACTGCAGAGTACTGCAGAGTACTACATGCAGAGTTACACAGCGGAACAGGAGCAATTAAATAGAATATTCATCTTTCGCTGTTAGTCAGCCATTAATGCAAATGTACAGAGTTCAAAAGTGAGTTTTCATTTACAATATACACACAACTCACAGACGCACACAACAGTACACCTGCAAACAGCCAGAGGAGGAGGAGGAGGAGGAGGAGAAGGGGAGGAGAGAGGAGGCGCACACACACAGTACACCTGCAAACAGCTGAAGGAGGAGGAGGAGAAGGAGGAGGAGAGAGGAGGCGCACACACACAGTACACCTGCAAACAGCTGGAGGAGGAGGAGAAGGAGGAGGAGAGAGGAGGCGCACACACACAGTACACCTGCAAACAGCTGGAGGAGGAGGAGAGAGGAGGCGCACACACACAGTACACCTGCAAACAGCTGGAGGAGGAGGAGGAGAAGGAGGAGGAGAGAGGAGGCGCACACACACAGTACAGCCGTAAATTGCCCAGAGAGAGACAGAGGAAGAGAGCAGTGAAAAGTCCTGGGACCTGAACGCCACATGAACATGAACAGGAGGAGGAGGAGGTAAGGCTTGGGTTCGTTCTTCAATGTCAAAAATGATGAAGTTTAGACACAAACCACAGTAAAAAAAAGAAAACGCCAGATTACAGAATTTAACACCAGAACTCCCAGAGCAGTGAATTTGACAGCTTTTAGTTTTGGAACGGTAAAATCTCAGGTACATTCGTGGTCTTTGTAACTTTATGACCTTTTGTGATCGTTTTCATTAAATTATTTAGCGGCATTCACTTTAATCTATAATTCTAATGTATCCATTGTCTGTCGCTTGGAAACAACATTCTGTGCAAGTCAAAGCCCATTTTCCAAAGAAACTGGTCCTAGTCTGGTCCTGGTTCTGGTCTTGGTTATGATGGCTGTGAGCCGAGTCTGCTTGGTAATCCACCATTGAAGAGTAAGTAGTTTGCTAGTTACCATAGCAGCACTTTTTACTTCCAGGTTAGGTAAAAGTGATTAATGGTAAAAAATCCATATTAGTCTGGTGGAAAATTTCCCAGAATGCCATTGACATTGATTTGCAGCAGTCAAACCTGGGAGTCCTAGTGTTAAACAGCCCAAATCCATACCATAGACAGATTGCACATAATGTACTGAACCAGAGAAAAGGTTAAAAGGAAAGAGACTCGAACACAACACGAGCAGATGGCGAGTGTTCAGACTCTGTTCTGGTCTCGTGGACTGGACCTTCCCAGGCTTCATCTACCACCTCTGAACCGGGTCCTATCTCGCCTTTTAGGTCAAAACTGTCTGAGTAACCAGAGTAAGCAGCACTGAAGTGAAGGTGGCGTGGAGGAGGAGGAGGAGGAGGAGTGGGTGGCGGCCCGATGGCGAGACGGTGCGTCGGTGGAAGAGCAGAGATTCACAGCGATGCTACGGAGAGAGCGCCCGGCGGATCGTTGCATAGAGCCCAGTTGGAAATGGCCGCGTCCACGACCATTCCCAATTTGGCAAACACATAACTTTAACATGTCTCTATGAACCCTCAGACATGACATAACATCGAGTGGGTTAAAATGGAAAAAATAGATCAAATAAGTTGGTGTTTGTTCTAGACCAGGGGCGTCAAACTGGTTCCAGAAATGGCCAGTGGAACCAGGTGTACACTCCTGACCTAAACTGTATATAGGAATGGACCAGGCTAACATGCTAGCTAAAGCTTTGCTCCAACTCTCTGGCTCCAATTGACTCCATATAAAAGTAAACTCTAGCTCAGTAACCGTAACTCCAAGTAAAAACCATTTATGGCCGTGCAAAACTGACCAATCAGGCTCCTTCTGTCCTTTAAAATCAGTATTTAGCGTGTGAGTAGTGCAAGCAAAAACGGACCAGCGCTGCTTCTGATTGGCCCACTGGTTGCTATGTCGTTGCTATAGTCTAAATTGTCTCCAGATTCTTGCATGGAGCCTGTTGGAGTTTGCTCTGATTTGGTCCACTCCTTCTACAGTCCACATAAAGTCATTTCCATCTTATTTTCAGAAGCTTTTCACAGCTTTTGTCGGTGGAATAATTGAAAGATTCAAGCAGTTTCTCACTTGGAACGAGACAAAGTGCTGTTAAGACTAAATGGGCTTGTTCCGGTGGTGAAAGTTTACAGAAAACGCACCAATTCTTAACTATTTTTGCAGTGCACCTCATCCACTTCAGTCATTATGTGATGTCTGATTGGTCAAGAATCATAAAGAAAACCTCCGTGTACTTCTGCCGGAGATTATGAACGTAACAAACGCAAAGAAATGGCATCATTTGAAGAAGCGAGGTTGGTTAAGAGTCGGCGAGAGTGAGAGCATTTCAGTCATTTGGCGAAGATTCAGTCGCGCCTTCAGTCCCACTTGTCCTACAGCAAAGTCCACACAGGTGTTCGAACAAGGCGACCTGAAACGTGTCTACTGTAGCTCTTTATAGTCCCAATGGGAGGGATGGCATCTATTGGTTTCAAGAGGCAGGGAATATGGAAGATACTGGGACGACTGTAATCCAGGTGTGTCAAACCAGTCGCAGAAAGAGTTGGTGTAGATGCAGGTTTTCATACCAACCGAGCAGGAGCACCGCAGGCTCCACCCATTTTCTCAAGTGAGGCCAGGCTTATTGGACAGTGATGATCCGGGACTTTTCTTAACATTTATGGACAGTGGTCCTTCAGCTCCCTATGGGCCAACGACTATGTGTTATATAGTGTGAGAGAGAGAGAGAGACCAGAGAGAGAGAGACCAGAGAGAGAGACCAGAGAGAGACCAGAGTGAGAGAGAGTGAGACCAGAGTGAGAGAGAGTGAGACCAGAGAGAGACCAGAGTGAGAGAGAGAGAGAGACCCGAGAGAGACCAGAGTGAGAGAGAGAGACCAGAGTGAGATCAGAGAGAGAGAGACCAGAGCGAGACCAGAGCAAGACCAGAGTGAGACCAAAGCGCGACCAGAGCGCGACAAGAGTGCGACAAGAGAGAGAGCAGAGAGAAGACCAGAGAGTGAGCGAGACCAGAATGAGAACAGAGTGAGACCAGAGAGAGACCAGAGAGAGACCAGAGAGAGACCAGAGAGAGACCAGAGAGAGACCAGAGTGAGACCAGAGTAAGACCAGAGTGAGACCAGAGTGAGACCGGAGTGAGGGAGCATTATTGCATTTTCTGTGTTCAAACTGTTTGCAGTCCTCCTGGTCTCTCTACACTCCCTCCATGGTCTCGCTCTGGTCCCTCTCCCTCTCTGGTCTTCGTTCTCCCTCTGCTATTGAGAGTCTGCTGTGCTCCTGCTTGGTTGGAGTAAAAACCTGCATCCACACTCTCTATAAAAAGGTAAAGTGTTTGCAAAAAAAAACCTGTAAACTCAAGTAAAATGGAAAAAGATGAGATGATAAAGTAACTTCCATGTTTATCTAACTTTTCAAAAACGTTTCAAAGCGTACATTTTTGGGGGTTCATTTCATATGGCGTGAATTGTACAGTGTCTTGTTCTGTGCTGCAAAGAGTGGTGCTCAAATTTGGTAAAAAGTATCCTTGTCCCATTATCTTTGACAATGGGATGAGGCAAAATTATCTTGTTTTAAAAAGGTACATGTTGCATCACCAGATATTGAACTGTAGGAATGAGAGGCACACAGCACAAGAGAAGAGAACAATAACTCTATACTTTAATATAAACATTTGATACCTAACTAATAATCGCTAACTTTAGCATAATGATTTATCAATGACTCTTCTGGCCACCCTGGAAAAGCCATGTTCCAGCTTCTTCCCTCTGGCAGAAGATATCGTTCTCTGAGATGCAGGACATGTCGTTACGCTAACAGTTTTTTTTTCCACAGGCTGTTATCAGTGTGAACAGAGCACTTTAATGATCTTGCACTTTGTATTGATACTGTTTTAGTCGATCAATTTCACAGTGACAATTGTTTTACTGTTTTATTTGTTTTATTTCTGTACTTTTAATGTTGTGTTATGTCTGTATTTGTCTGTGCACACTGGGGACTTTTTGCTAATGTATTCCAATGTGGTTTTTTTTTTTTACTGCAAATGGCAAATAAACTGAATCTGAATCTGATAATAAAAAAGCAAGGATAAAATGCTGTATATTCTGGTGCAATAATTAAGTAGTTGCATGTATACATCTGTACATGTTAGGAGCATCAGGTTCTGGTGACCATAAAGTGTCAATGGACATATGTGCTATTGCTGCTATTGCCACTCTTTCTTTAATTGCCACTTTTTATTGTACATAATTATATCCTGCACATGATTTCAAATTATTGCACATCTAGCGTTAAAGAGGTAAAAGTTAGGTCCCCCAGCTTTAACTAACATCTGTTTGTTTACACACACGTCTGTGAAAAGTCGACGGTAAAGATTTGAAGGTTGAAAAGCAGGTTATGTTGTTATTGCTTTACTCTGAAGGGTCTTCCCGGACACCGCGCATGCGCACTCATCTCCTTGACTTCCCAGTTGTAGGAATGGCGGTCGCGAACACTGTGGGAAGCGAGCACAGACCCTGAAACTTTACTTCTCTTGGCCCCGCAGAGGAATTCGGCTGGATCGAACCACAGGGCAGCCACTGGAGCTTCGGAACCGGGGAAATAAGTGCTTTTAACCTCGTTCACAAACCGGACAGACAGACGTGCTGTGTTAGCTAGAGCAGCTGACTTTGAAGCTAGTTAGCATTAGCTCAGCCCACTAGCATCCACCACCTTCACCAACAAGTTATCCAGTTATTCCCCACGCTGGTACCCGCCTTGACAGCCTATGCCCTGGATCTCTGTCTCCATAACCATACCAGAAGACGTCATCATTCTTACCCACGCTGGTCTGAGCTAGTCCACTCCAGGGCGAGCTAAGTTGAAAAGTGTCGCCCATTTTTGTGTGTGTGGGTCTTGCCTGTAGCACGACTGTCTGCTGGCTAATCTCGACTGTCATTGGGCACTACCATGGAGAGCTTAACCCTGACTGACTATGAGCAGAAGTATTACTCGGATCTGTTTGTTTATTGCGACACGGATAATACCAAAAAAGTGGCTTCAAATGGCAGAGTTCTGGACCTGTTCCGGGCGGCCCAGCTCCCCAGTGAAGTTGTCCTGCAGGTAAAGCATCATTAATGTGTGTTTGCTTTTGTCATTGTTGTTTTGGTCCTGTTGAATCATGCAGAAACACTGTCTGTGCTGAGCTGAGCTGGTTAGCATTACTGCGCAGCGACAGACTCGCCTCTTCCACTTTGCGTCGGGGAAAAAAAGTAACAAATATTGCAACCATTTCAGATACATTTGGGTTTTATCAGTACATACGGAGAGTGCTGATGTCAAGGACGTCGGGGGTGATTAGCTGTGTAGATAGTAGTGTTTAGTAGTTATTTTTGTGTGGCTACTATATCCATAGCAGCTTTGAGAATGCCCTTCAGGCTCAAGTCTTCACATTTTAAGATTAAGACATCCTTCATTCATCCCACAGTGTAGACATTTCAGTGTTGCATCACCAGTTTCAGAACAGCAAGAATGAGCAAACGGCACAAGGTATATGATGAACACAGCTCTGTACTAATCTCTACACAAAATAAAATAACATTCAGTAAGGAAGCAGTCTAATAAGAAGCAAGAATTAAATACAACATTTGACTTTAGCATTTAAGAAAGAAGCAAGTGTTAAGTACTGTATATTCTAGTGCAGAAATAGAATTGTATGTTTACATAACCTTATTTTATGCTATCTATCTATATAACACTGTTTATCTAAAGTACAAGCTTCTGAGATAGCAAGTAGATACAAGTCTGTTCTAGCGACAACTTCCTGAACTAAACTGGGTTCTAAGTTGGTGGAAAAAGTAGAAAATATCATTGATTTAAAAAAATAAATAATAATCTTTTGCTTTCTGTCTGGGGCATACGGGTAAATGGTATAGACCAGACATGTTCAAACTAAGGCCTGCGGGTCAATTGTGGCCCTCTGTGTCATGTTATGTGGCCCTCTGCCTCGCTAACTTAAAGTAGTCTTTGAGATCATAAACACAAGTTCACAGTGTCATCCAGCCAACTTCAGCTCAGCCATTATTGACATGCAATACCTCATTGTGAAGCTCAGAATCTAAATCCAGTCAAAACTGTTTTACTATCTGTCTTGTCGGCCCCTGGACAAGCCTGGTTTAACTAAAGTGGCCCTCATACTAAAACGTTTGGAGACTATATAGACCATAGACTGTAAATATTAACTAACATATCCACGTCCATCTCCGCCGTTGAAACTAATGTGCCACCACTTTTCCCCTCTATGGGCCTTTTCGAAAAACAAATGTCACACAAAGACAGTCAAAAGATTCAAGATATTTCCAACAAAGTACAACATGCATGTATTGTTGGAGCTGAAGTTGGTTATAATCTCAAAGACTACTTGATCTCAAAGGCTGCATAACGTGACACAAAACTATTTTCTTTTGATCCAAAATCTAGGCCTGCAACTTAACAAAGTGTGTTTTTGAACAATCCCAAGGTTCTGTGTGTATCTTCTCTGCAGCAAATCTCTCAGCAGGATAATATTTGCAGTTTGTGAGTCAGCATCTCTCTGAAGGTCAACAAGGCAGCTGCGTGTTTATAAAAGGACTATAGTTACTGTTTTTTTCTAGTGTGCAGTGATTTCCTAACGCTTGTCGAGGCAGGACCCACGCAGTGACCCAGGCTTTGTGCGCTTAGTCAGAGCACAACAGCGCCCAGTCAGCTGAAGCCGGCTCTCTCTCCTCTGGGCTCTGGCTACAGCGTGACAATGATGTGTTCATGACATAGACTGTATATAGATGGACAATGCTAACCCGCTAGCTCAGTGAAGCCCAATGCTCCAACTCACTCTGGCTCCTATTGACTTAATTCTTTAGCTCAGTAACTGTTTATGTCACAAATCTGTGGTTTATTGCTCTCTGTGATCTTGGTAAGTAAGTTTTTATTTATATACCGCCTTTTCACTGCAGATCTGAGTCTCAAAGCGGTTTACAATTGTTAATTTTTGGGCATTTGTCTCTCACTCCACACAGAGATGGGAGCAGCCAGTTTTTAGTGGTAGGGGAAACCGGTAGTACCCGGAGGAAACCTACGCAGACACAGGGAGAACATGCAAACTCCACTCAGAAAGGCCCTGGTCCGACCGGGATTCGAACCCAGGACCTTCTTGCTGAGAGGCGAGAGTGCTATCCACTCAGCCACCGTGCCGCCATGATTGGTGTAACTTATATTGGGAATTTGTCTTTGTGAATCCACATATGGATTGACCAGTGTCGGGGTTTTCGTAAATAGATACTTTATTGATTTCCGTAGGAGAAATTCAGGTGTCCAGTAGCAGCAGACCAAATAGATCATTCTAAAAATAGTTAACAATATTAGAGTTTCATGGATAAGTTTAAAATAAAATGTATTCTACTCATTGCTACTACCACCAATTAGTTCTCACTCACAGGGGAAACTCCAGCTTGGATTAGCAACTGTTCTAGCAACACTTCTGTCACGGCGCGAAGCTAACGCTGCAGAAGAGCGGCCCATATAAGTTATAAGGAAATTGGCTCCAGCTATCTTGTGTTCAAATCAACCTCTTTCGAATTAAGGCCAACACTATGATGACGTCAGCACCCGGTGTTGTAATTTAGGTTTGTTGTGATCATACTACATTCTATTCTCTATTTAGACCCCAGAAAAAAATACTCTTTTGTAATAGCAATTACAGTACCAGCTGGATTAATAAGTACCCTTGCATATTAACCAGCAACATTTTAGGTAATGTAATTTTTGTCCTGTGTTGAAATGTGATTGGTCAATCCTTAAACGGGTCATATTTGGATTTACAAAGACAATATAACAATATGAACACCAGGATCACACTGCACTAACCCACTGATTTGTTAGTGTCCAGTGTCGGGCATCTTTGAGCTAGCAGGTTAGCATTGTCCATCTATATACAGTCAATGGGAAAAACATGGAATTTTTATAATATTATCCTCCATAACATGTAATCCCTCAGTGCTCTCGTCCTCGTCTTGGTTTTCAGATCACGGAGCTGTGTGGAGCCACTCGTCTGGGACACTTCGGTAGGAGCCAGTTCTACATCGCTCTGAAGCTGATCGCCATCGCACAGTCAGGCCTCCCCCTGCGGGTGGAGAGCCTCAACTCGGGTCAGTCCTGCTCTAATAGGCCTCGTCTCTGGGTCACTTTTGTGGAAAGTAATTAGATTAGACTTGTTTTAGAACTAACAAAAGCTATTAATGGAATAGGAGAAGCTTTTTTTACCACACTAGAAGATGGAGTATCCTGAGGCCATAGGAATTTGCCACAGTATAGTCCATAAATAATGCAACAATTGTAGAAGAAGATATACTTTTATCTGTAACTTTGATACTTAATCCTATTTAGTCTCTTTAGTACTTAAGTTTTGCCTGTATCTACGTTTATTATTGCATTTCTAAAGTAGTGATGAATATTTGTCAGTTCCACCACAACAGCTTGTAGCCATGTTTGTTTTTGTTCTTAGTTTTAAATAAACGCAGTCTATATAGTCTATAGTCTTCAAAGTGTTGAAGATGAAACATTGCAAAATATGCATAGACATTTCGTAATTTCCTTTTAGAACAAACAGCCTGTTTTTTCTTCAGCCTGTTGTGTCATGGAAGCATTAACAAGACTCATAATCTCTGTTTTCTGAGAGGCTAAGCTCAAAACTGTTGCCTGTTTAGAGGGGGGCTAGAGAAAATGTGGTCTCCCAGAGATGGTTATTTTAAAAGATTTTGTTATATTCAAGCAACACGTCTGTAGTGCTGACCGGTGGATTGGAAAAACTCACAGCTTTTAGTTCACACATGTGGAACCAGATAAGAAGCTGTTTGTACAGTTGTCAGCTGGACAGTTTTAGAGCTGGCAAGCCAACAGCATAAACTTAATTTATTAGGAAACAATTGGGTTGAAACCTTGTCTGTGTTCTGAAAGTGGCCATTGAGTTGAACTGGGTCTCGTGACCAGCTCAAAATGGCTAAAGATGCCTGAACACATTGGACATTCTTTTAAACTTTGCTCAACAATAGGGCTTTAATGATAACAGTTTTTCAATTAATTATTACAGTTTTTTGATTATGAAGCGCACCTTTTGTATAAACCGCACCAGCATCATTTAACAAGAAAGTTTATCCACATATAGTCTGCACTGGTATTTGAGCTGCAGGTTTTCATGTTGTAAAGTAACACTGGACCAACAGCGGATGCAAAACGAAGCAGATGGATGACAAAACATGATTGCATGAGGAAGTGAGGATCACAGCACTCTGGAAAATCCACTCTATTTTGACAATAACATTTCTAATAAAACCTGATATAGTAAAAGAAAGTCTTGGAATAAGTCCATAAACAGCTCTAATCACAAAAACAATTCCTCTGCATTTCCATCTGTCATCACTCTCTGCTGTTTACATAAACATACTGTGTCCTAATCCACTGCTGCACACCAGGGCGAGCTCTAATAAAATACAACTACATTGGCCATGTCGCTATATAGGCCGCAGGGTTCAAAGAAATTATTTAAAGTAGTGGATCATAGTCCATAACTACTATAGTCTGTATTTGACCCCCTGGGACTGCAGGTGGAATTTAACCTAAAAACAAAATCACTTTTCTGTCCACTGTCTGACTGCGGCCCTCTCCTCACAGTAAAGGACCTGCCCTTGCCCCGGTTCGTGGTCAGCAAGAACGAGGCCGAGGCCCGACACGCCGCTCTGTACCAGGACTCCGATGGCCAGGGCCCCTACCCCGTCACCGCCACGGTCATACCAAGACCTCCAGGCAGGGGGCTCCAGAACAAGAAAGGACCCCCCACAACCACAACCACCATGCCCGCTCACGAAGTGGTCCAACCTCACGGGCCGCCCGCCGTAGAGACACAGGTATATTTAGACCACAGAGAAGGACACGATAAAAATAGTGACTTTGTAGCAGCTAAAACAGAGATGATCGTAATTATAGCTGAATATTTGAGTTATTAGTGTCCTCAAAAAGCTCTGAAGAGTGACAGATTCTAAAAATAATATGCTAATAATAAACAGGCTTTTTTATGTAACAAATAAAATGTCTTAATTTCCTGTTTGCCTCTAATGTGGACTTTCCTATTCATTAAAGCTGGGGCCACCTACTTCTTTCATAAATACATTTTGTTTGTCTCAATATAAAGAATTTTCTTTAAGTAACACACTTCTGAACCCTGAGGACCGGGCCCTCTAAACCCTGAGGACCGGGCATTCTACTTAAATGCTATTTAAGTAGAATGGTATTATTATTTGTTGTTTGGTTGTGGTTCCAAAGTTGGGTACTGCATCTTTAATCCCGCTTTCCTATGTATTGGTTTTAATTGGATTAACCCTAGCCCAGAGCACCATACAATCAAAGTATATTCTTTGTTTTGTAAAACTGGCTTGCTTTTCCCAGCTGTAGTTATGATATTCTATTTTTATTCTATGTGTGTCTTTAGCCCGAGGCCACATCCCCGGTGGTCTCCCCTCACCAGTCGCCCCCCACCTCGCCTCTGTCCTGGAGGAAGCACACGCGGCAGCACAGCGGCGGGAACGTGGTGGAGAGACAGCAGTCTGTGCCTCCAGCAGGAGCAGTGTGGACGCAGTTCAGAGAGACACAGTCAGGTATAAAAACTTCCCCTTTCACACATCAAATACAAGAATATGGACTATGTTATTAACCCTATATGCCCGATGCACGCGCACATGTTTTACAAATGATCAATTTACTCGCGAACGGTAAAACGTAGTAACTTACTTTTTTTCCGTATTCGTATTCAGGGATTTCCGAAACTAGTTTTGATTTGTCTGTGCGATGCACGGAGGATGAACTACGTTTGTCTGAAAGTCCGTGTCCAAAGCGTGACCCGTGAGGTACAAACAGCTGTGAGATACAAACACACGGGGACTGCCAAAGATCGTCAGAGAGTGAGATCTCTCACTCCTCTGTCTGTACTTGTTCTCCCACAGTTGAAACTACAGCTGCGATTGCAATAACCGGCTGAAGAGTGCGCATTATTGATAAAGACGATAATAAATACAGTAAAATGACATGTGTATATGATGTATATAAATATATGTATTATATAAATAATTGATGTTTTTTTCTTTTTTGGCTCAGTTTCTTATGTTTTACGTTTTTTACAGCTGTGCTACAGAAGCAACCCCAGCATTATAGACAAACTGCTTCAGGAAGGGCATCAGGAGTACAGAATTTTTTGCTTTTATAGTGGAATTTTGTAAAAAGTATAATAGTTAGAGATTAAATTTTTTTCCCCATTATCCCCAAGACCATAAATAACATTTCTATGCAGTGTAAAAAGTTGTTTATAGCATTTCATTGTGTTTTTTCAATACATTTTTGTTAAATTGATTTTCTGTTTGATTTTTTTCTTTGTCTTCATGATTCCATAATTTTTATATAATTCATATGACAGCTTTACAATATGAATATTCTAAAACCCCAGGTTGTACTGAAAAAAACAAAGTATACTGCTTGACTCTGCATCAAAAGATGAACAATTTCATCTTTTATGAACAATTATACACAAAGAAAACCAGGCGAGGAAAGTTCCCCAAAATGACCCATGTGCATAGAGGGTTAAAGACCAGAGAGAGAGAGACCAGAGAGAGAGACCAGAGAGAGAGACCAGAGAGAGAGACCAGAGAGAGAGACCAGAGAGAGAGACCAGAGAGAGAGACCAGAGAGAGAGACCAGAGAGAGAGACCAGAGAGAGAGACCAGAGAGAGAGACCAGAGAGAGAGACCGACCATATAGATCTATCTATGCCAAATGAGACATTTACATTTCTCCATTGTGAGATCAATAAAGTTTATCTTATCTTAGAGTCTTCTGAACTAATCACTGCAGTTCACACAAGCCATAATGGTTTTTTTCTATACACACTGCACTGTAAAAAGCAAAATGGCACAAACATCTACGAAACAGTTAAAGGTGAACAGTGATAGAGAGAAGGACCACTGTTTTCCTCTGCTCTGTGTAAAGTCTCTGTCTGACTCCACTCCCCTGTGTCTCAGTGGTGGTCTCGGGTCCGGTCCCTGCAGATGGACTGTGGGCGGCTCACTCTCACTCTCCTCCACTTCCCTGTCAGGAGAGCTGGGTCAGTTTCACCGCTGACACGCCTCCCTCCAGCACCATTCCTGCCGTTCACCCCTCCTCAGTCCAGGTACGGCCTCTGCATCATCGCACTGCTCTGTTACTGAGGAGAGTCGGGACTAATCCTGATTCATATAGCAAACATTGGGAGTTATGTGCGTGTGGCATTATTTTTACCTTCACTATGTCACATTCACAACTGCAGGAGCGAGTAGTTATGTAATTATCTGCTAAATTCTTAATTGTTGTTTGAAATACCAAATTGTGTAGATTTATTGACTATGTGCACCTGAATCATCAAACAGGCCCTATATTTGATCATGCCAAAATCAAGGCCTTTAAAAAAAAAATCTGACCTTGTAGTCCACTGTCAGCTGAAAAATCCATTACTGTTAGCATCATGATGTGTTGTCATCATTGTGCCTCTCTTACGTTGTATTATCATTTGTGTTTTTGTTTTTTAGGAAAGTACTACGATACGCACAGTGGCCTCAGCAGCAATGACCAATGAAATCCAACGACAGTCCAGTGCCTACGACGACCCCTGGAAGATCACAGAGGAGCAGCGACAGTATTACATCAACCAGTTCAAAACCATCCAGCCTGACCTCACCGGCTTCATACCAGGTCAGGGAGGATCTGGGCTGGGGGAGAGAGAGAGGCCAGAGAGAGAGAGGCCAGAGAGAGAGAGGCCAGAGAGAGAGAGGCCAGAGAGAGAGAGGCCGGAGAGAGGGAGGCTGGAGAGAGAAGGGAGGCCGGAGAGAGAAGGGAGGCCGGAGAGAGAAGGGAGGCCGGAGAGAGAAGGGAGGCCGGAGAGAGAAGGGAGGCCGGAGAGAGAAGGGAGGCCGGAGAGAGAAGGGAGGCCGGAGAGAGAAGGGAGGCCGGCGAGAGAAGGGAGGCCGGAGAGAGAAGGGAGGCCGGAGAGAGAAGGGAGGCCGGAGAGAGAAGGGAGGCCGGCGAGAGAAGGGAGGCCGGCGAGAGAAGGGAGGCCGGCGAGAGAAGGGAGGCCGGCGAGAGAAGGGAGGCCGGCGAGAGAAGGGAGGCCGGCGAGAGAAGGGAGGCCGGCGAGAGAGAGAGGCGAGAGGCGGCCGAGAGAAGGGAGGCCGGCGAGAGAAGGGAGGCCGGCGAGAGAAGGAGGCCGGCGAGAGAAGGGAGGCCGGCGAGAGAAGGGAGGCCGGCGAGAGAAGGGAGGCCGGCGAGAGAAGGGAGGCCGGCGAGAGAAGGGAGGCCGGCGAGAGAAGGGAGGCCGGCGAGAGAAGGGAGGCCGGCGAGAGAAGGGAGGCCGGCGAGAGAAGGGAGGCCGGCGAGAGAAGGGAGGCCGGCGAGAGAAGGGAGGCCGGCGAGAGAAGGGAGGCCGGCGAGAGAAGGGAGGCCGGCGAGAGAAGGGAGGCCGGCGAGAGAAGGGAGGCCGGCGAGAGAAGGGAGGCCGGCGAGAGAAGGGAGGCCGGCGAGAGAAGGGAGGCCGGCGAGAGAAGGGAGGCCGGCGAGAGAAGGGAGGCCGGCGAGAGAAGGGAGGCCGGAGAGAGAAGGGAGGCCAGAGAGGGAGGCCAATGTTTATGCCTTGGTCTCTTTCTTATAATTCTGTCATTGTTTTGTTTGTAGGTTCAGCAGCAAAAGAGTTCTTCACCAAATCCAAGCTTCCAATTTTAGAATTGTCACACATTTGGTAAGCAGCGTTTTAATCACAAAGGATGTATCAAAGTTCCAACTGAAGCTCTTACAGTGTGTCCATTGTTCCATTGTGTGTGTGTGTGTTTCCAGGGAGCTGTCGGACTTTGATAAAGACGGAGCGTTGACCTTGGACGAGTTCTGTGCGGCCTTCCATCTGGTTGTGGCCAGAAAAAACGGTTACGATCTCCCTGAGAAGCTTCCAGAAAGTCTGATGCCAAAGCTGATAGACCTGGATGACTCAGCAGGTACAAGATGGACGCCTGTACAACGCCAAACAGTGAATTTGGAACTGTTGGACTATAAGGCATACGTCCATACTGTATACACTGGTTATTCTCTGATCCCTCACTCTCTCTTAGGTCTCTCTCTCTGTTCTCTCTCTTTGGTCTCTCTCAGGTCTTTTTCTTTGGTCTCCCTCTCTGGTTTCTCTCTCTGGTTTCTTTTTCTGGTGTCTCTCTCTGGTCTCGCTCTTTGGTCTCTCTCGGGTCTTTTTCTTTGGTTTCTCTCTCTGGTTTCTCTCTCTGGTTTCTTTTTCTGGTGTCTCTCTCTGGTCTCTCTCTCTCTGGTCTCCCTCTTGGGTCTCTCTCTCTGGTCTCCCTCTTGGGTCTCTCTCTCTGGTCTCGCTCTTTGGTCTCTCTCTGGTCTCTTTCTTTGGTCTCCCTCTCTGGTTTCTCTCTCTGGTTTCTTTCTCTGGTCTCTTTCTCTGGTCTCTGGTCTCTCTCTCTGGTCTCTCTCTCTCTGGTCTCTTTCTCTGGTCTCTCTCTCTCTGGTCTCTCTCTGGTCTCTCTCTCTGGTCTCTCTCTCTCTCTGGTCTCTCTCTCTGGTCTCTCTCTCTCTGGTCTCTCTCTCTCTGGTCTCTCTCTCTCTGGTCTCTCTCTCTCTGGTCTCTCTCTCTGGTCTCTCTCTCTCTGGTCTCTCTCTCTCTGGTCTCTCTCTCTCTGGTCTCTCTCTCTCTGGTCTCTCTCTCTCTGGTCTCTCTTTCTCTGGTCTCTCTCTCTGGTCTCTCTCTCTGGTCTCCCTCTCTGGTCTCTCTCTCTGGTCTCTCTCTCTGGTCTCTCTCTCTGGTCTCTCTCTCTCTGGTCTCTCTCTCTCTGGTCTCTCTCTCTCTGGTCTCTCTCTCTGGTCTCTCTCTCTCTGGTCTCTCTTTCTCTGGTCTCTCTCTCTGGTCTCTCTCTCTGGTCTCTCTCTCTGGTCTCTCTCTCTGGTCTCTCTCCCTGGTCTAGCCCCAAGTCCTGCTCTGGCCCCTCAGTGTCCTCTGCAGGTGTATGTTAGTGTATGAATGGCTTTTGACAGCTGCAGCAGCGCTCAGACCTGCCACCAACAGGTTTGATGTTACTGCTCTCTCTCACTTCAGCAGTTGTGAGTTCAGGATGTTAGAAAAGTGTATGAAGTGTGAGGGCTTTACAGCCTTAAAACAAACAGCTGCTACTGAAAGGATATGCCTCATTATTTGTTAGAACACATCACCCCTGTCATAAACCAGGACCTCATTTACTCTGTGCTGAGTTTGACTTGTGCTGAACATCCGCAGAGGTCCCAGAGGCCAGTGCAGACGTGGGCTTCTCTGCGTCTCCAGTCGAAGTGACTCCTAACAAGTCTCCATCGATGCCTTCTCTGAACCAGGCCTGGCCCGAGATGAACCAGAGCAGCGAGGTTTGCTCCTTACTTTCTCAAAACATCCACAGTATTTTCACCTTTTCATTTTTTATTATTTTCCCGCTTTTCGCTGTGGTTGCTAAGGATTCATCTTGATTAATTATTTCATCTTCATTTTCAACTTTAATCGCTGTAATATTACCAGGTTTTGTGCACAAGTTACAAATGCGATCACACTGATGTCATTGAGTGCGATTATAAATTGTTGAGGCAAAAATGAACCTCCTAACGTTGGTCTCTGCTAACCATAGACCAAATATTGTTTTCATTAACTGCAGTAATTTACAATAACATAATATATTTCTACTGTATTGACTGTATTGACTGTATTGACGCAGTAAGAAAGTTTTTCGTCCAAACTTAGCAGCACTTTTTACACAGGTCACATGAGGCCCATAGCGCCGCCTTGTGGCTGGGGGAAGGTACATTTTGGCTCCTTTACACCGTCTTTAAGGGTTAGGGGCTAAATGACAAAACAAACGGAAGGAGCCAAAAATAGAGCGCACCTCCTCACAGTAGGCTCTTAGAATAGTTCATGTTTATTAATTATTCATGAGGATACGGAGCACGTTCACAAGCAGCATTCGTTTACACTGCGCTCTTCTGGACATTCAAATTATCCTTCATCAGTCCAAATACACACATTACAAAAGAAAGCGTTTCTTTTCCCTGGGCTCCTGGTTCTCATGTATTCATCTACTGCAGTATTTCTGTATCTCCAACATGCACAAGATAAACCAACATTTAACCACAGAAAAATAGAAATACCTTTACGATCTTAAAAACACTGCCAGAATCAAAATATTGTCGCGAGCCAACTTGGAAATTCTTAACCCTGCATTTGTCTCCAGTTATTCAATTCAATTTACTTTGATAGCCTAAAATCACAACAGTAGTTATCTTGGGGAACTTCACAAAGCTGACGATTTGCCGATAACAGATCAGAGAATCAAACGGTTCAAACACAGGAAATTAGGTACATAAGCGGGTGACAAATGTCCGTAAATGTTGATAAATGTCCATACATTTTGTTGAATGTCGAGAGTCCTGGATCATCTCCACTGTACTTAGTTTTGACTGCTCTATAGGCCTGTTTGAAAAGGGATTGGATGAAGCAAAAATCCTTAACTTAAATCTATCCGATCCATTCCCAGCCCTTCAGACACATGTTTACATGCGTCTCTTTATCCCCCGACATAAACCAGAGAAAGTAAAGGGTTTTCCACTAGTGCCTTGTGATCGCACTCATTGCTGCTGTGGCCGACTGACCTGTTTTCTCTCGCTGTCTGTCTGTGTGTCTCCTACAGCAGTGGGAGACGTTTAGCGAGCGCTCCTCCAGCTCACAAACTCTGACCCAATTTGACTCTAATATTGCACCAGCTGACCCTGTAAGTCAATCACCTCGCCTGCATGCTCTCACTTTTAATGCAAATGGATTAACCTGCTCTGGGCCATTTTCTCCTGTTTTAATCTGATGCATGACACTCACTACTCGAGTATTCTCACGTCCAGAGGAGTCCGCCATCTTGTTTTACACGCCACATAATCCAGACAGAGGCAAAAGTCTTTCACTAGTTTTGAATGTAGACGACACTTTACTTTTTTTGAATATTTAAAGGGCAAGTGACTGCCGAAGACCCAGGGCCGAGGCTGTAGACCCAGGGCCGAGGCTGTAGACCCAGGGCCGAGGCTGTAGACCCAGGGCCGAGGCTGCAGACCCGGGGCCGAGGCTGCAGACCCGGGGCCGAGGCTGTAGACCCGGGGCCGAGGCTGTAGACCCAGCACTTTTAGGCCACTCCCTCTTTTATATCCAATAGAAGAGCAGGAACAAAGCACATTCAGGGTGTGGCTTTATCGTTCACTCTTATGATCAAAGTCTCAGGAGATTGAAACCACAGAAAAACGATCCAAAACATACTGTAGAATTACACACATCTGTAAAACATCTGCCTCCGTCCTGAGCATTGTCTGTGAATCTCATGCATCATGTTTTCACCAGGACACCGCCATCGTTCACCCCGTCCCCATCCGCATGACGCCCAGCAAAATCCACATGCAGGAGATGGAGCTGAAGAGGACGGGCAGCGGTAAGTACTCGCAACGAAGATCCTGTGTTACTTCTAAGACTTGAGAGACTCGGGCTCAAGACTGAATATTCCTCCACAAGAAGCATCACTTACGATAGTTTTAGGATTATGTTGATGTCACGGTTAACTAGCATTTAATTGCAAATAATCACATTTTTCCCTGGTCACTAGGACCGAAAACCTACTCTGCTGTAGTCACTTTTTTTAGCTCAATCGCACATTTCCTGTTTGCATATTTCCGTCTTTCTGCACATCCTGAATGATCCTATTTATGCCAAAAGTTTATGTGTCATTTTCTCCATTGTGAGGTCAATAAAGTTAATCTCATCTTAACTTTCCCTTGATTTGGTTTGAAAATGGGTTGGACAAAGAAAAAAGCTTATATGATCCAATCAGCTCCAAAAAGGTCTAATTTTGCCTCCTCAATCTCTACTTTTGTTACTGCTTTTAATATTGAACACTATAGAAATGACTTAAACTGCCAAATAAAGGCGTCTCTTTTATTTATGTTTTCATTCCAAGTCAGACAACCATCTTTGACCATCTGAAAAACATTGGCAACGTCAAAAACCGTTATTTCAGTGACTGTCATTGCCCTGTGTATATATTCATACCCCCCTTGTCCTCAGACCACAACCACCCGGCCAGCCCACTCTTGGCCAAACCCCCAGAACTGAATGAAGAAACCAAATTAACAGCATCTATGAAGTTTGTAGCATCCAACCCCGTGGGTGAGTTTCTGTTCGTCTCCGTTTGCCTCTCATATCTTCATCGTTTGTGTGTTTTTAGCTGTAAAATGTTTGTGTTTTTAGGCGACGGTTACAGCAGCTCCGACTCCTTCACGTCCGACCAGGAGCCAATCACACGGCAGAGGTTGGTTTTCGATAAGTTTTAACATTTGCCGTTTGTATGTGTGGTGTGCTTGAACAAACGTGTGTGTTGTGTGTAAACTGTCATTGTTTCTTTTATCTATGACATTATAATGACAAAGAAACTTCTCCAGTTTGAAGTTTTCAGTAGTTCTGAGCGATGTGATACCATTAACGCGATGTAGAGTAACGTATGAAACCGAAATAACGCAATATCATTTGTGTATCTTTCAGTTTCTCTCGGTCTGAGTGCGTTCAGAAACAGCTTTGTGGATTTGTTTATGTGTTTAATTGTGTTTTTTCTTCAACATCATATAACCACTGGTATAACATGACAATTACCGTCATTGAAAGTCTGAAGAAAACTCTCGTGGGTCTCTCTGGTCTCTCTCTGGCCTGCCTCTCTCTCTTTCCTCTCCTCTCTCTGGTCTCTCTCTCTTTAGTCTTTCTCTGGCCTGCCTCTCTCTTTTCTCTCCTCTCTCTGGTCTCTCTCTGGCCTGCCTCTCTCTCTTTCCTCTCCTCTCTCTGGTCTCTCTCTGGTTCTCTCTTTAGTCTCTCTCTCTTTAGTCTTTCTCTGGCCTGCCTCTCTCTCTTTTCTCTCCTCTCTCTGGTCACTCTCTCTGGCCTGCCTCTCTCTCTTCTCTCTCTCTGGTCACTCTCTGGCTTCTCTCTCTGGTCTCTCTCTCTCTGGCCTGCCTTTCTCTTTTGTCTGACTCTCTCTGGTCTGACTCTCTCTGGTCTCTCTCGCTGGCCTGCCTCTCTCTCTAGTCTCACTTCTCACTTCTCTCTGGTCTCACTCTCACACTCACTCACTCACTTCAGTAGAGGTGAGTTCAGGTGGTTATAAAAGTGTATAAAGTCTGATGGTTTTACAGCCTCAAAACATACAACTGCTACTTCACAGATTTCACTTATTGTGTGTTAGTTATTTTTAGAAAAGATAAACCAGGCCTTTGTGATGTTAGCAGGATACAGAATGTAACTCTATGATTGTATGTGCAGGTCTCAGTCAGGTAACTCCCCCGAGGCCCTGAAGGTGGTGGCCCCTCCCCCTCCGCCGCCGCGGCCTCACGCCTCGCACTCGCGCTCCTCGTCTCTGGACATGAACCGCACTTTCGCCGCTGTCACCGCCGCAGGACCACAGCCGGCCAACGCCACCGCTTTCCCCCCCGCCGTGCCTCCCAGACCCCTCCCCACTCAGGTAGGTCACCGGGAGGGAGGAGCCAAACCTGCTCAGCCACTATAGGCACATTTCTCCTTCACTCTGGGTCGAGGACGTCTTGGTTTCCATCGCTCTTGGAGTCTATAGGGGCTTAGGACTTGAGGCTTTGCTCCCCAAGGATCAAATGTTAAAAACAACTGATAGAAACTTTTTGGAGACAATTTTGTGAGATTCCTCTTGACTATAACAGATTTGTTTTGCTTTGTTATTGTATTTTGTCCCCAATAATCATGTTTGCATATATGTTTTAAGAAAAGAACTGTTCTTTTATCAGCCTCAAACACTTGGACAAAGTATTTATTTCCATGTCAACTTCACATGCACAAAGGTAGAAATACATGTATTGTATAAAGGAGTCTCAGTTTGTATCAAACTGGTTTTCTGTAGCCCGGCGAGAGAGAGGGAGACCCCCATATAGAGATAGACTCTGTCAGATATAAAGGGGCTAAAATAATTTAAACAAGGATCACAATGTTGAAGTAAACCCAGTATATGACAGAAGCCAGTGAAGTCAGGCCAGCACAGGGGTAATGTGCTCTCTCTTATCTGAGAATCTAGCACAGGGTGGGGCTGTAGAAAAAGGACAGGGGACAGTGTTTTAAAGGTCATGGCACTATTTATGAAACCGCACCCTTTAATAGTAGACCTGTTCAGAGTTTTAAAATGTACTTTTGAAGTAATGACCAGTCCTTTGTTCTCCTCAGTCCTCGGTGCCCCTCGCTGGTCACCGTGGCGAGGGAGACTCGGCGGGGCCGTCCCTCACCACCACGTCGCCGCTGCAGATCCCGCAGCAGCCAAACTTTGCCGATTTCAGCCAGTTTCAGGCCCTGGCGGCTTCGGAACAGCCGTCCAGTTTACCAGAGGCGGATAAGCACGCGGAGCCCGGGCCGGTCAGTGCCTCTCCTGCTACAGAAGCTCCCATATGTTGTGTTCAAATCTGACTCTATCCTTTGTCTGTCTGAAGGTGGAGAAGACGTCAGAAGGAGCTGGTCCTCTGAGAACGGTCAAGAGCGATGGTTCTGCAGAAGAGAGGCCCTCGAGCACTGGGAACTCAGTAAGCAACTTCTCATTGCTCGAAAAGTCAAAATAAGTCAAACGTTTGAATGCCACTGGGTTTTCTGCCATATGTGTGAAAGAAATGCAGTAGGAGACCAGAGAGGGGGCGGAGAGAGTGACTGAGAGAGAGATGGAGAGACAGACAGACAGACAGAGAGAGGAACCAACCGTAAAGGGGGGCTGACCGGAGAGGAGGGGGGGGCTGACCGTAGAGGGGGAGAAATCAAGTTAGAGGAAGTTTGTTTTCAGATACTATGGTAACCAAAGATACAGCTGTGTCTCTTTTAAGCCTCCACTCGGTCACAAACTGCAGGCTTTGAGGCTGGAGACATAATTCGACTGACGGCACATGTCGTGAGCCACACCACTCAGTCTGTTTTCTCCACAGGCCAAAGGTGCGTCCGGCCCCATAGCTCCGCCCCCAAAGCCGGTGCGCCGGAGGTTAAAGTCTGAAGACGAGCTCAGGCCAGAGGATGAGCAGCACGTTCCTCAGAAGACCAACATCATCGCTGCTGTGTTAGCGTCGCAGCCGTCCATCCCCCGGTACGACTGCCTCTGAGCCGCTGCCACCTGCTCCAAAGCATTAACACAACAGGAGGCACATTGTGTAGTTTGTACACAACAGACTCACACCTGAACAACACGGAACTTTTTTCACACTAAAGAGAACGAGGCAGAATCTACAACGGTCTCTGGATGTTCTGACCCGATCCGAGTGCAGTCCAACTACTGTCACAAATTTCAACTAAACTTATTCAGGGCAAAAACCTCAAATAAAACACACAGAATCCACAAAACAATCGGCAGAATACTTCATCAGCAGCGTGAGTGAATGTTATGTTTTCTTACCTGGTGATGCAGATAGCATTAGCCACAGCGCCCTAACATGAGCTTTTAGCCATGTCCTGCTGGGGCTGTGTATATCTCCTGCTTCTTTGATCACCGTAGTTTTAACCTCACTCAGACGTTATTCCTCCATGTGTCTCTTCTCTTCACAACGCGTTTGTAAAACTATATATTATAATATATCCATGTGTAAAACTCAGTGCAGCCTCTGTGCTGCGTCTGAACGCGGTCTTGTTTACATCCACTCCTCCCACGCGACTGTCAAGTGCCCGAGACGTTTGGAGAGATCCGGTCATTTATCAAACTAAAGTATTCTTTCCTTGGCGGTCTGGTGAAAGACTGAGAGTTGTACTTTCCTCAACTCAGGCTTCCATAGTACCTTGGACTGCAATATAAATTCTCAACGCTAGATGGCACTAAACATTACACAGTGTACCTTTAATAACTAAGTCTGCATACAAAAATCAGCTGCCTCGTCTTCCTCCCGGTTAAAGCATTTGGGGACCTTTTATTGGAATTTCTACTGTTTTTGTGTCTAATGGTATTTTTATGACTCCAGGTCCGTTGGAAAGGACAAAAAAGCAATCCAGGCATCAATCAGACGAAACAAGGAGACAAACACGGTGCTGGCGAGGCTCAACAGTGAACTACAACAACAGCTGAAGGTATTATTCTCACATAACTGTCCAAATGACATGATCTTATCAACTACAGAGAGGGGTCTCTCTCTCTCTCTCTCTTTGTCTCTCTGTGTCTCTCTCTGTCTCTGTCTCTCTGAGGGCGGCACGGTGGCTGAGTGGATAGCACTCGCGCCTCTCAGCAAGAAGGTCCTGGGTTCGAATCCCGGTCGGACCAGGGCCTTTCTGAGTGGAGTTTGCATGTTCTCCCCGTGTCTGCGTAGGTTTCCTCCGGGTACTCCGGTTTCCCCTAACTTAACTTTTATCGCTGCACCATTGAGAGTTTGTTGGTTCTGTGTCTGTGTGGTTTGGAAACATCACAGATAAAGAAAAGAGAGCTTTAAACAAGGTGCTCCGCTCTGCAAAGAGGACCGTGGGCTGTGAGACCAGAGAGAGACCAGAGAGAGACCAGAGAGAGACCAGAGAGAGACCAGAGAGAGACCAGAGAGAGACCAGAGAGAGACCAGAGAGAGACCAGAGAGAGACCAGAGAGAGACCAGAGAGAGACCAGTAGGGTTGGGCACCGAGAACCGGTTCCTATTTGGAACCGGTTCCTAAAGTGCGGTTCCGGAACCGTTAAGAAGACGTTTGTATTTTGATTCTTTTTTCGATTCCTAAATGCCGGATGCGGCCCGCACAGCGGCGTTGGAAGCGTTTGGGAGGTGGGGGGGGGACACGTTTCAAAAATGCTTAGCAGCTGTCCACCCAGCTTTGTGAAAAACTCAGTGAATTAAGCTCTTATGAGACGGCGCGCTCGTGTTTGCATCCACATTTAGCTTCAGCCACACCGTTAACTCCTGCCATCGCAAAGAAACCTCTCAACGCTTGTATCTTCACATTTTCCACAAACGCAGATAAAACTGAGTCAAGGGGTAAAGGAAGCAAACATTTATCCGTCAAATGACTAATTCAGATATTATTTGGTTAAGTTAGAGTCCAGACAGCGAGGTTTAACGGGCGTATTGACCGGTTGAACACTCGTGCTAGCCCGGTGCAGTTTCCCCAAACTCACGCTACATCAGTTTCATCACTCGCTTTACAAACACATCCAAAACTGATGTTCCTTACCTTAAAGTTACTGGTCAGGCCCTTTGTAATGATGAAGAAGGGAAACACGCTGTCCACCTGCCGAGGACCGCAAAAAGTCCTGCTCCTCCTCCATGTAATAATCCGTAAAAAACTCCGAAAACACGATGCACGAGTCCATGTGCTTTTTCAAATCTGTCAGTCCGTCCAACGATAATCCTCCAGTATTCTCACTTTAGCCGTTTTTCAGCGGTTTACAGAGACGTGTTTACATTTCAGCCGCTCTGAGGTGTGTGTGTGTGTGTGTGTGTGTGTGTTCCTTGTTTTTTAATTTAATTTGTTTTTATGTAAAGCACTTTCTGTTGCCTTATGGCAGGAAAAGTACTTGTGAAATAAAATTTGATAAAAAATTATCTTTTATTTTTCTCTCCTGCACCTCAAAGAATCGGAATCGAGAATCGTTTAGAACAGGAATCGATAGTGAGAATCGGAATCGGAAAATTGCAAACGATGCCCAACCCTAGAGACCAGAGAGCGGACCGTGGGCTGTGAGCTTCCTGTTCTGGAGGTTCTTTATAAATCCAGACTTTTAAACAAAGCTCTTAGGATTGTTAATGACTCTTCTGGCCACCCTGGGAAAGCCATGTTCCAGCTTCTTCCCTCTGGCAGAAGATATCGCTCTCTGAGATGCAGGACATCTCGTTACGCTAGCAGTTTTTATCCACAGGCTGTTATCAGTTTGAACAGAGCACTTTAATGATTTGCACTTGTTTTGAACTGTTTTAGTCGATCGATTTCACAGTGACATTTGTTTACTGTTTTATTTGTTTTATTTTTGTCTTTTAATGTTGTTTTATGTCTGTATTTGTCTGTGCACACTGGAGACTTTTGCTAATGTATTCCAATGTGGTTTTTTTTTACTGCAAATAGCAAATAAACTGAATCTGAATCTACCACTAAAAATATGTACAATAGGTCTGGCATGTGCCTCCTGTACTGGCCCCGCTCCCATCTCTGTGTGGAGAGATGGGACAAATGTGTGTGAGACAAATGCCCAAAAATAACAATTGCAAACCGCTTTGTGACTCTGGTCTGTGAAAGGCGGTATATAAATAAAGATTAATTACTTACTACTGTCTCTGTCTCTCTCTGTGTGTCTCTGTGTCTCTCTCTCTGCTCTCTCTGTCCTTCTCTCTCTCTGTGTCTTTCTCTCTGTGCTCTCTCTGCACTCTGTCTCTCTCTCTCTCTCTCTCTCTCTCCCTGTGCTCTCTCTGCACTCTCTTGTTGTCCACAATGTAAATAAATAAATGTGGTACCTTCCAGGACCTGCTGGAGGAGAGGATATCCCTGGAGGTGCAGTTGGAGCAGCTCAGACCCTTCTCACACCTTTAACCAAGGCCGAAGACCCGCTGGAGGCCGAACACCTGCTGGAGGCCGCTAAACTCCCCGTGGGTCCCCCCTACACATCCGTCCCTGCTGCCCTCTCCATCGGACCCAATCACGACGGGGGAGAATCTCGCTTTGGGGGGGGGGTCACAAACAAGACTGGCACTTTCTGGAATGGGGAAGTGAAGGAAATGAAGTCCCCATCGAATAATGAACCGGTTACTTTAAAGCCCGAGATAAAGACAGCGGCTATAAATCAATACAACATCACACCGAGCACTGTCAGAGGAATTTAGAAGCCTCCATTTCAACCTGTTGCAACATTTCTTGTCAATAACGCAAAGAATTAACCGATTTATCATCTCATCTTTTTCCATTTTACTTGAGTTTACAGGTTTTTTTTGCAAACACTTTACCTTTTTATAGAGAGTGTGGATGCAGGTTTTTACTCCAACCAAGCAGGAGCACAGCAGACTCTCAATAGCAGAGGGAGAACGAAGACCAGAGAGGGAGAGGGACCAGAGCGAGACCATGGAGGGAGTGTAGAGAGACCAGGAGGACTGCAAACAGTTTGAACACAGAAAATGCAATAATGCTCCCTCACTCCGGTCTCACTCTGGTCTCACTCTGGTCTTACTCTGGTCTCACTCTGGTCTCTCTCTGGTCTCTCTCTGGTCTCTCTCTGGTCTCTCTCTGGTCTCTCTCTGGTCTCACTCTGTTCTCATTCTGGTCTCGCTCACTCTCTGGTCTTCTCTCTGCTCTCTCTCTTGTCGCACTCTTGTCGCGCTCTGGTCGCGCTTTGGTCTCACTCTGGTCTTGCTCTGGTCTCGCTCTGGTCTCTCTCTCTCTGATCTCACTCTGGTCTCTCTCTCTCTGATCTCACTCTGGTCTCTCTCTCTCACTCTGGTCTCTCTCTGGTCTCTCTCACTCTCACTCTGGTCTCTCTCGGGTCTCTCTCTCTCTCTCACTCTGGTCTCTCTCTGGTCTCACTCTCTCTCACTCTGGTCTCACTCTCTCTCACTCTGGTCTCTCTCTGGTCTCTCTCTCTGGTCTCTCTCTCTCTGGTCTCTCTCTCTCTCTCACACTATATAACACATAGTCGTTGGCCCATAGGGAGCTGAAGGACCACTGTCCATAAATGTTAAGAAAAGTCCCGGATCATCACTGTCCAATAAGCCTGGCCTCACTTGAGAAAATGGGTGGAGCCTGCGGTGCTCCTGCTCGGTTGGTATGAAAACCTGCATCTACACCAACTCTTTCTGCGACTGGTTTGACACACCTGGATTACAGTCGTCCCAGTATCTTCCATATTCCCTGCCTCTTGAAACCAATAGATGCCATCCCTCCCATTGGGACTATAAAGAGCTACAGTAGACACGTTTCAGGTCGCCTTGTTCGAACACCTGTGTGGACTTTGCTGTTAGGACAAGTGGGACTGAAGGCGCGACTGAATCTTCGCCAAATGACTGAAATGCTCTCACTCTCGCCGACTCTTAACCAACCTCGCTTCTTCAAATGATGCCATTTCTTTGCGTTTGTTACGTTCATAATCTCCGGCAGAAGTACACGGAGGTTTTCTTTATGATTCTTGACCAATCAGACATCACATAATGACTGAAGTGGATGAGGTGCACTGCAAAAATAGTTAAGAATTGGTGCGTTTTCTGTAAACTTTCACCACCGGAACAAGCCCATTTAGTCTTAACAGCACTTTGTCTCGTTCCAAGTGAGAAACTGCTTGAATCTTTCAATTATTCCACCGACAAAAGCTGTGAAAAGCTTCTGAAAATAAGATGGAAATGACTTTATGTGGACTGTAGAAGGAGTGGACCAAATCAGAGCAAACTCCAACAGGCTCCATGCAAGAATCTGGAGACAATTTAGACTATAGCAACGACATAGCAACCAGTGGGCCAATCAGAAGCAGCGCTGGTCCGTTTTTGCTTGCACTACTCACACGCTAAATACTGATTTTAAAGGACAGAAGGAGCCTGATTGGTCAGTTTTGCACGGCCATAAATGGTTTTTACTTGGAGTTACGGTTACTGAGCTAGAGTTTACTTTTATATGGAGTCAATTGGAGCCAGAGAGTTGGAGCAAAGCTTTAGCTAGCATGTTAGCCTGGTCCATTCCTATATACAGTTTAGGTCAGGAGTGTACACCTGGTTCCACTGGCCATTTCTGGAACCAGTTTGACGCCCCTGGTCTAGAACAAACACCAACTTATTTGATCTATTTTTTCCATTTTAACCCACTCGATGTTATGTCATGTCTGAGGGTTCATAGAGACATGTTAAAGTTATGTGTTTGCCAAATTGGGAATGGTCGTGGACGCGGCCATTTCCAACTGGGCTCTATGCAACGATCCGCCGGGCGCTCTCTCCGTAGCATCGCTGTGAATCTCTGCTCTTCCACCGACGCACCGTCTCGCCATCGGGCCGCCACCCACTCCTCCTCCTCCTCCTCCTCCTCCACGCCACCTTCACTTCAGTGCTGCTTACTCTGGTTACTCAGACAGTTTTGACCTAAAAGGCGAGATAGGACCCGGTTCAGAGGTGGTAGATGAAGCCTGGGAAGGTCCAGTCCACGAGACCAGAACAGAGTCTGAACACTCGCCATCTGCTCGTGTTGTGTTCGAGTCTCTTTCCTTTTAACCTTTTCTCTGGTTCAGTACATTATGTGCAATCTGTCTATGGTATGGATTTGGGCTGTTTAACACTAGGACTCCCAGGTTTGACTGCTGCAAATCAATGTCAATGGCATTCTGGGAAATTTTCCACCAGACTAATATGGATTTTTTACCATTAATCACTTTTTACCTAACCTGGAAGTAAAAAGTGCTGCTATGGTAACTAGCAAACTACTTACTCTTCAATGGTGGATTACCAAGCAGACTCGGCTCACAGCCATCATAACCAAGACCAGAACCAGGACCAGACTAGGACCAGTTTCTTTGGAAAATGGGCTTTGACTTGCACAGAATGTTGTTTCCAAGCGACAGACAATGGATACATTAGAATTATAGATTAAAGTGAATGCCGCTAAATAATTTAATGAAAACGATCACAAAAGGTCATAAAGTTACAAAGACCACGAATGTACCTGAGATTTTACCGTTCCAAAACTAAAAGCTGTCAAATTCACTGCTCTGGGAGTTCTGGTGTTAAATTCTGTAATCTGGCGTTTTCTTTTTTTACTGTGGTTTGTGTCTAAACTTCATCATTTTTGACATTGAAGAACGAACCCAAGCCTTACCTCCTCCTCCTCCTGTTCATGTTCATGTGGCGTTCAGGTCCCAGGACTTTTCACTGCTCTCTTCCTCTGTCTCTCTCTGGGCAATTTACGGCTGTACTGTGTGTGTGCGCCTCCTCTCTCCTCCTCCTTCTCCTCCTCCCTCCTCCAGCTGTTTGCAGGTGTACTGTGTGTGTGCGCCTCCTCTCTCCTCCTCCTCCAGCTGTTTGCAGGTGTACTGTGTGTGTGCGCCTCCTCTCTCCTCCTCCTTCTCCTCCTCCTCCAGCTGTTTTGTTGCAGGTGTACTGTGTGTGTGCGCCT